CGGCGGCCGAGTCCGCCTGGGACGACGAGCAGTCCGACTTCGTCTGCAACACCAAGCAGCCCGGCTGCGAGTCCGTCTGCTACGACAAGTCCTTCCCCATCTCGCACTTCCGCTACTTCGTGCTGCAGATCATCTTCGTCTCCGCGCCCACCATCTTCTACTTCGGCTACGTGGCGCTGCGGTCCAGGCGGGACAAGAAGAGGGGCCGGCAGGAGGGGCCGGGGGAAGAGGGCGGCGGAGCAGAGCGGGTCGAGGAAGAGAAGACTGGGGGGAAGGAGAGGCTGGTGCAGGAGTCCCCCTCCCTGAGAGGTGCCTTACTCTGGGCGTACGCCATCAGCACCTTGGTCAAATTGGTCACGGAGGTGGGGTTCTCCTTAGGGCTGTGGTACCTGTACGGCTTCACCATCAGTGCCCGCTACGTGTGTGAGCGCTCTCCGTGCCCGCACAAAGTGGACTGCTTTGTCTCCCGTCCCACCGAGAAGACGATTTTCACCATCTACATGCAGGTGGTCTCCGCCGTGTCCGTGCTGCTGAACGTGCTGGAGCTGCTGCACCTCCTGCGCAAGGGGATCGTGCTCAGGCTGGAGGACATGTACCGGTTCAAGGACGAGCGGCTGGTGGAGATAGCCATGACGCCAAGGCTGGGGTCCCCGCAGGGCTCTTCCCCGCTCCACCCAGAGAAGGGCTACATGTACCTGCCCTTGGACAACGAGGTTCCCAGCAGCACGCGTCTCCCACAGCCCTGTCAGAGCAACAACGTGCTGGGCATTGGGTCTGCGGACTGGGAGGGCCAGGCCGATCCAAAGAGCACCGCACCTGTCCCGCATGAACTCCCCAGCTACAACTGTGTGGTCACAATGAAGCCTTCCACCCCAAGGCCTTCTCAGTCCTCAGGGAAGAAGCCAGGGAGCAGGAGCTCAAAAGGCAGTAAAGGGAAAAAGGGTCAGTATGTTTAGGGCAGTTTAGAGCACTAGTTCTGAATAGAGGCATGTGTGCACATGGGAACAGGTGGGAGAAGCAGCCTGAAGGGGCAGGATGGGGCCCAGCCTCAGGACTTGTCCGTGGCTGGGAGAAACTCAGGCCAGGCGGGCTCTGACCCACACGCGAGGTCCTGTGCACGTTTGGGAGCTGGACTTTGAAATCTCTTGGGATCAAACCAGGGATGGGCAGCAACTTGGGAGTGGCTTCCTCTTGAACCGGCAACGTCCTGGGACTGCAGCAATCCCAGCAGGCCGTTCATGGCAAGAGGTGCTCCAGTGTTCACTTCTGCTTTTGTTGTCATGGAGACACTTTTTCAAATGGTAGCAAAACCACTGAACACGCAAAAAGCTAATGCTTGTAAAAAAACACTCTCTGGTGCTAGGAGAATATTTATCAGACCTGTGTATTTAAGCATAAGAATTTACCAAAGATAAAATGTGATACATGCAAGGTGAAATGAACGACAAAGAGTTTGAGATTCAACAAAGTGGAAGTTTACAATCGGTACAGAAGTGTTGGTATTCAAATGTGTTTTAAAGAGGTGAAACGACAACCGTACAATAAAGAATTGAAATCCGTCCTTGTATTTTTATTTATCTTGTGGTCGTTTGCTACACACTTGAGTGATGCCATAAAAACATTTTTTGAAATATGCTAAACATAAATAACAGGCTATGTTATTTGTAATTAAATAATAAATTAAAATGATAAAAATTATATAAAAAAATAAAAGTAATAAACTTACAATTCTACAGCAAATGTACATGTATACATGTAATATTGAAACCCACTAAGTTTTAAAAGCTCTCACTGAAATGCCCATGGAGGAATGTGTATAAAAATGGTCAGACAGGCTGGAGAATTAGAGAACCAAGAGCCCATCTTGGTTCTGAAAAGCCACAGGACTGCAGATCTTACTACCTTTAGATCTATCTGCTCCTACAAGACCTGCAATCTATTTCATTCTGAGTCCTTCCTGCTTTATTCCACTTTATCTTAATTAATTCAATATTAAGTACATGACTGATCTAGCGACCTGATTGGTCCAAACAATCATTTTTAATCTCTTGTTAACTAGAAGCTCACCTGAAACCTGCTGCTTTGTGGTTGTCAGAGGGTTAGGGCATCTCCAACATATTCAACAAACGAGGACCTGGAGAAGCTTCTCTAGCACTGGAGGGCTGAGTTCATAAGTGCTCATCTCAGGTGGCAGATCTGGGATGCTTGACTGAACCGAACACACAGTTAATTGGACCAACCATCACAGAATATTTAATATCGCCTATTATATGTATTCAGTGTTATTCTAAAGGGTGCTTTGGTTAGATAAGCTCAAAATCCAAGATAAAATATTTTGTGGCCACAAAATCCAAGATAAAATATTTTGTGGTTCTTGTTGCACTTACAATCTTAAGGAATTAATCACTACACAAATTGACTTCTTATCAAGCTCTTCAGCTGTGTCTGAGTAATGGTCCTAACTTTACAACCCACGGGTACAAAAAGTTGCCCGTGCCCGTCTCTGAATCTGGTTATGATAACTAAGAAGAAGAGAAAAGTAAAGGAAATAAAGAAAATCCTTAGCAGAAGGTCCAGCAGAGATGATTCTACAGCACACACAGTATGTAAGTGCAGACCATGCAAATTCTTCCTTTTAGGTGCTGATCTGAAATCAGAAGACAGGTGGCCCTGCACTGTCGAGAAACAGGGGCTTGTAGGATTCTTCATATGGTGCAAAGCTTAGTCACGTTCACAGCTATGTGCTCGGCCCACACCGCCACCTGAGTCATCCCGATTAAAGTTAAAAGGTTAAAAATGAACAGAGTACGGGATTTCCTGCCATCGGAAAATCAACACTAATAACAGCTCACAGCTGAGACAGGTGGCGGACATTTTTAAACTTCCCTTTTTCCCCAATTAGACACTGTAGATACAAAGAGGGAGAGAAATGTACTTTGAGCGATGGTAAACTACAAAACAGGTCCTGGATGAAAAAGTTCTGTATTTGGACCTCCTGTGAAGCTTTACGGATGTTCAAGGAAAGGAAAAGAGTGTCTTATTTCATTTTTTCCTCTCCTTCTGGGCAGGGCTCATTGCTGAGATTTATCTACTGTTCATGCCAGTAAACTTCAGTAACGCCAGCGTGACAGCAAGTCATTATCCCTTGAGGAAATGTAAGCTCGTCTGGTAGTTTCCTGGGTGGGTCTGGCTGGTCTTTACAAATTTGATCTGCCTATCAGATTAAAAAAAAACAAAAACAAAGGGAACGTTAGCTTCTGACATGAAGCGGACAGAATATTAGTATAAGGAGAATAGGCTTCATGAACTTTCTTTTGCAAAGTGACAACTTTCCATTAGTAAAGGAAACCTGCTCCCTCAGATGCATTCCATAATGTCAAATTTACGGATTGATTTATGGCTTTTGTCTAGCAAATTGGCAACTGGTCATCATTTGGAGGGCAGACTTCCTCTTTTCAAATGTTAGCAGCAAAGCCCAGATAAAAGAAGCCAGTGGTCTAGGCTGGGGCTGTGGGTTCTCCCTCTGCCACTTGCCAGTGTTATGACAGGGGTGTGAGTGCCTGTTCAGGGTCAGAGGACTGAGACGCAGGCTACAAAGGTGACTCAGCAGCTGGATCAGAGACATCCATTTCACTTCCCATCCAGAACCCACGGCTGACTATAACCACTTTCCAGAAACTTTCTGAGTCGATTATTCTAGTCTGTCCTGATTACGGCTCTCCTCTAGGGAAACAAAAGCAGGCTGAATGTATTTCTGTGTCTTCCTAGAAGGAGATACAGTTTTTGTTAAACGATTACCTTATTTGGCCCCCTGTGCAGAAAAGAGGAAAGGTTCATGGCTCATAATGTTTTGTTTAAATAAGGGCTACAATCTCACCCTCTCCTCAGAAATGAAAAACCCAGTACCTGGCATTTGCCACAGTGGAGAACAGCATTTTGTCGTCTGTGACTAGCACATAGGTCAAGGTTTTGATTTAAATTGGGCTTCAGATAGACCGAGTGTGTATTTGACCTTCAGGAAATGATCGAGAAAATGCAAATTGTCTTTTTTTTAAGGAAATCCATCCCTGCAAGTGCTCAATAGATAAAAAAAACTGAATTAATCTGGTTTCCCTGTCTTTGCCGTCACCAGCTGATGTCAAGGCTAATACCTGCAGTCGAGCCAGCCTGTCAGAGAGGGTTTCTCCAAACGCCAGTCTTGCTTTTAAGAGCCGCAGAGACCAGAGCCAGCTGGTCACAATGCTGGGGCACTGCGTCGCCCGTCTGCGTGCGTGACCCCCTCTACAGGACTAAACTGTTCCCCTGTGACCCGGAGCTCTTCCTGTATCCTGACATTGTTGCTGCGACCTCAGGGCTGGCTTCCTCTTCTTTCGCCATGGTACTGGACAGTCACTGCTGCACGGTTTCCAGAAACCCATTATTTTATCTCTTTTTAAATGAAAACATAATCACAAAGGATTGGGCCTTCCTTGCTCTGGTATTGCAGATCCAGGCTGGTGAACGTGCCAGTTCTCTACTGTCAGGGCAGGCAGTCTTCCCCACATATTCTGGCCTGTTTTTTCCTGCCAGCTGTAGTGATGAAAAATTCTCTTCCAGTGAAAGTCATAGTACAGCATCACAACCTGTATTAATAGAAAGAAAATACAATCTAAGAATTTCACCACTCGCCCAGGGTTCGTAGGCCCTAGGCACTTTCACTCCGAAATGTTCAAAAAGAGGGGTAAACGCTAATTGAATTACGTCAATTGACATGATGCACTTTAAACTATTGAGATGACCAGGGAATTCGCACAGAATGAAGCTTGCACACCCCAACAACATGTTTATTTACCTCCACCCATCGGACTTGAAACTCCTCCAAGGGGTTACACACACACACAGGGTAAGGATTAAGGAGGGGGACTTCAGTTTATGGTGGGTTACAAGGACAAATCAGCAGACACTGACAACTATTTACAATGACTCCTCATAAACTGTTCATTATTTACACTGCCCAGTCAATCTCCAGTCCACACACTGACCTCAAGTCCAGCCCCTCGGCTGCTGCCCCCAGGCTGCCTTGTGGGCACATAGCTAAGGGGTGATGCAGCCCCTAGCGATACACTATCCTACTGCTGAACCCCGTGATTGATGGAGTGAGTTGAGTGACCATCACTTCGATACAAAATTAACATTTTCACATAATCACTTCAGATTATAAGTACGCATATCATGTAATGAAATATTAAGTGTTCATAGACATGTTTATACAGTTTAAAGCACAGATATTCATTAAAAACCTGGTTTCAAGCAGGTGTACTCAAAACGTTTGATTGGTACTATGTATATAAGATAAGATCACTTTGTTGGCCAGATACAATTTCTTGCATTAGGAATTTGTCTTTTCACAGACCCCAGCTTGCTCTCCATGAGACACACAGACAGGGAGAGAAGCTGGGGGTCAGAGCGCAGGGTCAGCCAATTATACAGCGTCCCTGGAGCAGCTGGGGTTAAGGGCCTTCCTCAGGTGCCCAACAGAGGAAGATTCCTCTGCCGGCTGTGGGAATTGAACTGGCAACCTCCCAGCCACAGTGCCACAGCTCCGCCATATATATACAAACATGGGTGTGGGACTTTATTTTATTAGCTATTTTTGTTCTGAATCAAACGCCAGAGGGAAGAGCTGCTATACCTTTTTCCCAGGCTGTGCATTGTTATCTCGGGGTGAACCAGCACTGGCGGATTACTCCTGACAATGGATAATTGTGTCTCAGAATGCTCATTGTTTTCGGGAGGGACATCCAGACGGAGAGCTGTGCCATTTCCCAACAGATAACTCTGGCTAGTGTCCACCATCACAAAACACAGCTAAGCTAAGCATTTTTTTTTCATTTGTGCGAACAGATTAAGATGTTTACAGTATATGCATTTTCCATGAACACGTTTCTTTTAAGAATCAAGTCAAGTTATTCACAACCTCCTCACAATGTCTAGAAACATTATGTTTCATGACTAGAGAAGTGTCTCTTAGATTTTAGATGAAGTTTGTGACACTGGGAAGAGTAAACACTTCTAGCTTCAAAGCAGAGAGGATGTTTGCTGAGGTCTGGGGTCCCTTGAGCAGAAACAATAGGAAAGTTTATCTTAGTATGCCTAGGCCAGTTGTGGATTAATGATTGCAAAGGAGCAGGGCAGAAAGACACAGTATAAATTCACCTTAAGAGAGGAGAAGGAAGAAACAAGGAGAGCAGGGAGAAGAGAGAGAAGTCCAGAGGAGTTGGGACTTGAAGCTTGCGCCAGGCGAGACCCCCTACTTCATGATCATCCAAATCAAACCTGACTGGAGCGAAGTATTCAAACCTTGTTAGAGAGAGCATGCGATTCTGTGTTCTTAGGGAACTTGGGTTTCCTGGTACCTCAGTTAGAAAAGTCTTTCCTGATCAGGGTGCATTTTATGGAGAGGGATATAGGCCCCCATTTATTTTGTGGCATCCAGGGTACAGAGAGAGAGATTTACCTGTAGGTTACTTTTTATTTAGTTAGAGGGCTCATCTCTTGTGTAGCTTCTGTAGGCACATTAAGAGTTGAGTGCTTGGTCGCAGTCTGGGGTTTTCTGGGTGACCAGAACGTTAGGCCTCTGAAACGCCTTGTCTGTAAATACTGTGTATAAAGTAACATGTTTTGTTGTGTGTTGTCATTGTTTTAAAATATCTGTCCAGCCCCATTTGTAACAATATAATGTAAACTTGGTGTGTTGTATGTTTTGTGTCTTGTGTAGTTTATTGTAATAAATATTTGTTTTAGCCCAGTGTGCCTGGATTATTACTCCTGTCAACAAAGCTGTGCCAGAGACTAAAGAATTCACCTGCCTCTAGTTATACCAGCCACTCGGGTATATGGCTAGAAAATCACTTACATACAAGTCGGGGGTTATGAATAATTATTTCACTGATTGACTAAACCGCTCAGACACTGATTTTCACCAGTTTCATAACACCCCATTTGTAACAATTTGTGTTTTGTCATCATTTTAAAATATCTGTCCAGTCCCATTCGTATCAATATCTTGGGTCAGTTTTTCGGAAAACTGAAACTGTACAAAAATGTTCTGGGGAGAAGCAGGTTTCAGACGTAATCTAAAGTCATGAAAAGCTGGGAATGTTCCGGTCCTGTTCCATTGTCTCAGGCCGTCCTCGTTTCTCAGGATTATCGGAATTATTCATCAGCTGTGCATTGTGCTGGAGTCACCCTAAGCATCCTGCCTGCAGGAACTGAAGCCAGCGCTCTCTTTATAGTGAAACAATGGGGCACACCAGCCTTCTGTGGTGAACAAAGTGAAAGAGCTCCTGACCTCCAGCTGCCTCTGCTCCCTGGCCTGCAGCGGACAGCACAGCAACTGACCCTGCAGGCACTCGTCAGCGCTGGCGAGGTGACCTCTACAACACAGGGGTCACCTCGTCACAGGGATTACTTTTCAAATTCAACAAGTGGCGAGGAAATTATACAGTACTATGCAACACCTTGCCTTTTCGAAGCAATATCTCCCATTTTATTTTTTTTTAAAGTAATCCCTTACACAAGTAACACTTAAGAATAAATCCACAGCAGCTGCATGTTTCTTGTGTAACATATGATTTAAAAAAATTAAGAACACGTTATTCCTTACACGGGTAACCTGCAACTGCAATGGGTAACTTTATAGAATGACTTGGGCCTACTCTATATAGGATATGGCACGATCTACGGCGCCAACTGCTGGTGCACAGGAGAACTCGCTGTGTGAAACAGGCAGCGCAATCAGGGACCAGGAGGGAGGAACGGTTTAATTGAACATTATTATGGAGAAAGTATTTCCTGTCCTGTCATCTCTCTGCAGGGCATGGTCCTTTCCCCAGGGAGCTCTCGAACGAGGATAGTCTACTCTCAGTGTCTCTTCCTGTTTACACTGCCTAATAGTGGTGGGCTGGGACCGGATTCACTTTTAATGCAGACCTTTTTAATGTTTTGAAATTAGTATCTTAATGGAACAGACTATCCAGCCATGGCACTGGGTTATAAAAAGCAATCTCAATAGCTGTGTGTTTTTAAAAGATTTAATAATATTTCAAAGAAGCTCCAATTCTCTGTAAGGAGCTGTGAATTTCCACAAAAGCACACTTGAAACCCACAAAAATTACAACAGAAAATTAAAATACGATACATCAGCTGACGTTTCTTTCACGTGAAAACACTTCAACATCTTTGGAACTGAAGTGGCCTTCATACTGTCAACCTGTCTCAGCACATGCTCACACAAAAGGCAAGCGAAGTCCTGCAGCACCAGAGACTCACCACGTCAGTGCACTCAACAGACTTTCCAAAATTTGAGCAAAACGCGCAAACAGACCAACTCCTAGAAGGATTAGGTTTGGATTTTATTGCTAAACTAAAATCACTGGCATTGACATTTCTTAAAGCCAGACAATCTGGAGAACTGCCTGAATGCAGGAGATTGCAGGACACGTCAGGGGTGACATCCCAAAACAAGGGGAAATGTGCATCACGTTCGGGGTTTGATGATGTGCAACCAACAGGCCAGAGGGACAACAGACTAATAAACACAAATAAGTGTTTATCAATTTTTAGCCCCCAGACTTTTAAAACCTCCGTTTACCTCCTAAATTCTATTTAAGAGAAGTTCAAAAAAAGCTGGCCACTGTTCTGACTCCAGACAAATAATTTCTTTCTCCAGTCCTTTCCTGCGCCCCCCTGGTACCCCTGTTGTCTGTTCTGATTAGGTCTGAACTGTGGAAAGGGGAGGGCGGTTGTAACTAGGGGTTCAGCTCTACAGTTCCTGAAGCCCTGCAGGGATGTAAACCCTACCGCCGCAGGAACTAAATCATGCGCTCATGAAGCTACTGGCAAAAAGTGTGATCATGCCCCTGGCACCAATCTCTGAGTCCACAGCGGTTTTGAAGAAGCAAGTGTAACCTTAAAAAGAAGGTACTAATAAAATGGATACCCTGCAAGGAGCATCTGTAATTATCCCAGATTTGTGGTTAAGCTCAGTTAGTTAAGCACATATGTCACATTTTCAATGTTCAAATATAAAGTCTCTCGACAGATTCATCATTTCATAATCACGAGATGGTGCTGTAATGGAGAAGGTATTTCCGAAGCGGTGCAGCGCTGGAATGGGCGATAATCCACAGTCTGCCTTCCACAGAGTTCAGGCCAGCCCCTGGGCTGCGCGTCTAGCTCTTCTCGGGGCGGTTGCGGTTGAGCACAGCCCTGGGGGTGAACTCCTGCCTCTCCTTCAGGCTGGTGACCTGCGTGACGTCCCGGCCCCTCAGCTCTTCCAGCTTGCGGTCCTCGCGCTTCTCCAGGATGCTCTTCTCCTCCGGCGGGGGGGGCGGAGTGCCACGGATAAACCACTCCAGGTGATATCCCACCGCCCCCACCACGAAGGCCACCGGGAAGGTGACGTACGGGGCGTAGGTCCGCATGGCTGCCCACAGTACAGGCCACATGGTCACGGCTCCAGGGAGGGAAACAACAACAACAACAACAACAGGGCTTTCAGTAGCGATTCTTAGTTCTGCTTCCATTCGACTGACCAACATTCCCGGCTACGTCTATCAGCGGATCTGACTTACTCACTTTTGACAAATGTATACAGCGCTTCTGCCAAAAAACAGGGACTTTATGTGAGATAAATGAGATCTTTGCCTCGGGATGCTGTTTATTATCACTCCCTCTTTGACAACACGTGCCAGGGCAGATGTGGCACTAGGATCCCTAAAGTCACTTCTCTCAGATGGTGTGCTTGACATCAGAGGGCATATCTCCACTGCTGCTGTGTGGACAAGCACCCTTAACGTTTTGATCTTCATGCCGTTAAAGCAGGGGTGAATTTATTACTGTGTTCATGTTAGGGATTTCACCATAGTAATGCACTTACACAGCTTTAAATAACTAGACCCGGGCTCCACAGTCAATTTATCACCTATCAGATGGATAATTATGATTCACTTGAATTGTTGTTTAACATAATCATGTTATGTTAAACAACAATGAGTATCTGACATTTGAACTGAAACAGCGTCTGTGCAGAAGAGCTGCTGCCAATGAGTGATCTTAACAGGGGATTCACGTATTGTAGTAAACAGATGAATTCATAGTATCTGTACTTAATTTTTTTCTGGTTCTGCAAGCATGAGAAATTGTTCACCATGAAGCTTTTATCGAAATAAGTTCTGTCAAGAACCACAAAATGCGTTTCAGAGCTTTAGGTTTACGGGTATTCTGTTTAGCAGGACATTGAAGACAGCAAATAAGTTCATTAGTAGAACTGTGAAGGAACATGTTCTTCCTACCAACAATATAAAGCTTCATTAATGCTTTCCTATGTTACTGTTACCATTGAAAATGATAAGAATCAGAAGGTGGAAATAGGGGTAGAATTGAGAAACCTCCTAAAATTGTGAGAAAGTGGCTCCACTGACAGTAGTACTGAACCATCAATCACCATTCATCATTAAGGCTCCCACAACCAACCGGCTCACAGCACGTGTGTATTAAACATTTTATTAAAAATTGAATTTTAACCTTTATCTAAAGTTAGTCATAAGGAGCTAATTCCTCCATTCTAGCCTCTGATATTCACTGATATGCAACACATTAAAAACAATAATTGCAATCAACTCTTCCAGCATTTAAATATTTACGGTAGATCACGAAACTAAGGAGAAATTATGGTACGCCTGGCCTAGCAGCTGGTCATGGGCCTAAACACACAACTCATACAGCGCCTGTACAATTCCGATAACAGCTGTTTCAGTGCCTGATTGCGATGAGGATACAAAAAAAGCTCACAACACGCTAAAGGTGGAGACGTTTTCTAATTTTAATACGTACAATATGTACTATTGCAAGTGAAGGATGCTTCAGACAACAACTGTGCTTTAAAGGGTAATATTTGTTTTTTGGAGGCTAAACATGGTGATAATCGTACAATTAGGCTACCTAGTGAGAGTCGTAAAAACATATATATATATTTTCATTTAACGTCTTGTCTGACGATACAAAACCCGCACTGAACTTAAAAGTTGTTATATAACACGCCGTGATGAACAACCCGTCTCGCGTGAAATCGAATTACCTAGTTTTTGTTAACAGACGTTTAAACAACAGTCAACGAAAGTTTGGGACTTTATTTCATCCGTAATACTGCCCGCAATGTCAGTGACAACTACTCACCTCTGTTCCCTTAAACGTGCAGCTAACACAGCCTTGGTTTGTGTGACACAACCTCATTAGAAGAAAAAACCGCTCCCATGAGTCTCACCGGGTTCGGCGATTTCCGGGATGTTTCGTGTAATTCCGGCTCACACACTATTGGAAGGCTGGCAGTGATCATTTTAACCTACTTTTTCCGCCTAGAAATCGTTCTTTACAAAAAAAAACCACACATCTTACATTTTGGCGCTATTTCGGAGGACCTAAATAAGTTTCTAATATTTATTTGTTAAATTAATCTGATGCACTTCCTCCGGCCGAGCACCATTGAGGCGGAAACGATACCGCCCGCAGTAACTGGCCGCAACCGCACTAGAGGCCTCTCGTTCTGATTGGCTGATTTTCTGTGGACGTTTTACAACGTCATGAGGTTTTCTGCAGGCAGCAGAGAAGAGCCCTCTGAACTTGAACTTGAACTTTATTGCCATATGTAATCGGTGAGCCAATAGTCCTCCTGTTTACAGAATTGCAAAGGTCTCATTTGTTAATCAAAATTTATACTTGAATCGAGACATACAGCAAAAAACAAAAACCATACAAAACATGTGAAAATAGCCAATTTTCAGCACCGTCAGTTTACCTACTTCAAATATATGAATGTATTTACATTGCTTTTCATGTCAAAAACATCAATGTCAGCTCCGGGGAGGTGACGGTCTGTGACAGACTGCGAAGTCTGGGAAGGAACCCAGTGCTGTGAGATCCAATGGTGTCAGAACATGGAAAGAAAGCAAGAGTGTCAAAGGAGAAATCATGACCCACCAGATATCAACCTGCCTGATACAGAGCGTCCTGTAGTGGTCTTTGGTCAATGAATGTAGTGTAAAAAACAACAGCACACTGCTACAAACAACATACAAGACACTAAAAGAAAAACAGTACTTTGGCCTATCTCATTTTTTTTTAACTAAGAGAGAGGTATCTATAGTATATTTTTTCCTTATACACATCCTATTAGGTGTCAACACTGCTCCAGGAAAGGTAAAAAAATTGAATTGTATTGTTTGTATTGAATATATGTTTATGATTCTACACATCAGATCCGCAATATTGATTTGTGGATACACCGAGGCACTGTGGGTCAGCACAACAGAAAACATTTAATGCAAGTGATTTGTTGCTAAACACAACAGACTTCCCCAGGGTGAACAACGAACCCTGCTTCAGGCGAATAATCTTACCTTTTTAAAGGTGATTCTGATTTAGAGTCTTTCTGTCATAATCCGACAGATGGCAGAGATATTCAGTTACTCTCCAACAGAAAAGAACAAGCTATGAATAATTCAGAAGAGACTTTCAGCAATTTGTCTTAAAAAAAAGCTTTATTTGATAAATGCATATACATTATGGCACATCATTTTACAAGAAGAGATTTTGAGTATTTTATAGAAAACAGTCCTCATGCTTGATCGGGTTCATTTCCTCTGTCTGTATACTTTCTCATTTAAATCAGGGATCTATATTTTACAGCTGAAGTGCTCAAAATAATTATGTGAAGTCACCAAAACAAACTGAGAAACTGGCTCGACCGGCACCAGAAAAAATGTGACTGTCGTTCCAGGCTACCCTGCTTGACAAAACTCCCAGCTGAAAGCAACAGGCACGTCAGCGCTTTCACAGTATTTGAAAATGGAATAATCAAAAACCTATCCTTTTTTTCTGACTATTAGATCCAACCTAATGAAAGTCGATCAACGGAGTAAAACAATATCAAAATCAGCTCTGCAGTTTAAGTATTCAGTAAAAAATAACATGCTGAAACTGGGTCAGGCAGTCGAGTTAGCAGTATTAAAGCTATGACAACAATGCATATAATCCAGAGTCTTTCCTCATTGTTAAGTCATTTTAGATGTATATGATAAAATGTTTTCCTTTTGAAAATTCCTTTACAAAATTTTTTAAAATCACCATTACCGAGTTTTACAAATCAGTACACAAGCCAAATACACACGGAGTAATTGAATTATGAGGCACTAAAACAATTTAGGTTTTATATTAGTGATTTTCTTAATTTTGGCAAACATCACAGACTACATTTTGTAAACATTTAACCTATACACATACAGTGACAGTAAAATTGTATGTTACATTTATCTATAATGCATGTTTGGTCATTGTAAGTGTGAATTTAAGTTTTGTTTTAGAAAACGTCTAAGAGATTTTATACTTTTCCAAGTAATGTGATAGTAGCTGGTCAGGGCCAGGTATTGAAAAGTCTTAAATTAATTATGTAGTACAACTGAAAATATATTAAATATGAACATTTTCACTTGTTACCGTAATTTCAGTGTAAATGGTTTTGTTTCATACTCCTTGTCTTTTTCATATTCCACCTCAAATCTCGACTTTCAGTCTTCCTCGTGCCCTCTATCATAAATGTGGACATTACAATCGGACATTCCTCGTGGTTAGTTCAGCACGTTTTAGTCTAACTAAGAAATGTGGGTGGACGAAGCACTCCACTTGCATGCAACAATAAAGGGAGATATAGAATTCATCTACACTCATCTATATGGCATTTGCCAGTTTCTCCAATTAAAATATTAATTCAAATGTAAACTTAAATGGTACAAAAAGACATTATAAACATATGCTTTTTAATAAGATTTTGCCATCTACTTTATGTTGCATAACTTAAGTAAATCTTTGGGCCATAATTGTAGAGATTTGGATCTCAGGATTCATTCCCATGTTAAAACCCACGTATCAAAAAGCACATGGGTGTTGATAACTTCCTGCAAAAAAGCAAGTGTGGACATGGCCATCTTCCATCATTATACTGTTAAAACTGAAAGGTTTAGGGCAGGGGTGTCAAACCTACTACCTGTAGAATCTAGTGTCTTCTGGTTTGTGTTCCACCTGTTACTTTTGCATTCAGTTACTTCTAACCTAACACTACAGTGTTTTACAGGTATTGGTACTTTCAATGAAATGAATGTCTTGAGCCATCAATCATGAAAGGCTTTAAGAAACAACCTATATATGTCTAAGAAAGAATATAATTAGGTGAACTGTATAACTGACTGTATAAGGTTGGAACACCAACCAGAGGACACTAAACCGTCCAGGAAATGAGACTGACACCCATGGTTTAGGGCAAACAAGCATGAAAATGTTTTTTTTTAAGCTCTACCGGTATCATATTTAAAGAAAAAGAGGCAGAACTCTTGCCACAGTTTTCTAACATGACACAACAGGGAGCAGGTGTTGCCTGAGTGCCCAATCTCAAAGCGCGTAAGGACTCTGAGCTCGGCTAGCAATGTCTTCCCCAAGCACATGGGCGTCTGAACCCCAGGCAGCAGAAGCATGGCTGCATGCGGCCAGCCCGCTGCCGAAGAGCGGGGGGGTTGGGTCCCCCTCTGGTCCCGTCCCTCCTGTGTGTGAGGGTCTGAGGGCGGGGCAGCCGGGTGCTCACATCAGCCTGACGATGGTGCTGGAGAGGAAGTCCTCATAGCTCAAGCGCACATTGCCCGTCATGGCCGTGTCCTTCTCCCGGAACGCCTGCGTCATGCTCTGCAGCTGCGTGCACACCTGGATGAAGCGGTCCAGCTGGACGGCGCCCTGGGCTTCCCTGCCCCCGTATCGAGACACCAGGCTCTGCGCAAACTGCGGGCTGAGGTTGTACCCCATCTGGCACAAGGCTGGAAAATAATCACGGCAAAAAATAAAGAAATGATTTCGTTCATACCGCACATATCTGGTCTCTGGGGAAGTAAAAGAGACAGGAGAGGTGGGATTGCGTAGATGTTGAGAGGCAAAAATAAGCAAACTTTGGAGTTGTGGTCACGTGCGGTGATGGACCTAAGACTCCCACTGCATGCTGATTTGACCCACTCCAGGTTTTACAAGCTAAAGACTCTTGTGACAATTGTACTGGCAAATACGAATGGAAATGTGTGTATTAAATATAACTTGAACTCCCTTTACATAGGTCAAGGTGAAATCAACAGAAAAAAAAAATATCCAGCACATGGTGCTTATTCAAAAGCAAAAGAGCCCTTAACTTGTAACACACCTGTAATAGATCAAACTGCTCTGCAAAGAAAGCAGGGCAGGACTGACTTCAAGATAGATTGCAACAAAGTAAAGAGCAACACAGGAGCTGACACAAACATCCAACATCTCGATCCTGTGCAGCATGCAGCGTCTGATGCCTCTGCTCTGAAGAAGGCTCATATTAATATGGGGGGGTGCACAACTATTGTGGGAAAATGACCCCCGACACTCCTCACCCCTCTTACCCTGGTGCAGCTCATTGGTGTTGATGCTTCCAGAGCGATCGCGGTCAAACTGCTGGAACAGAGCCCTCCACTGCTGCATGAACGTCCACAGGGCGGAGAAGCCGAAGACGTCAATCTTCCCCGTCTTGGTCTTGTCAAACATGTCTAGAAGAGACAGAACCGTACACCCCACCATCAGAACAGGCATGCTTCTTGCTTCTGCCATGTGGAGATTACAGATGAAAAAAGTGCTGCATCTTTACGGGCGATCAGAATGAAATAATTAAACAGCAGCAATATTTATTATACAACTTTGGTCTTGCAGACATGAAAATAGCCACGGGTGATATGGTTATTCCTGGAGAGATTGAGTTGATCGATTTGCCTAATGATTATACTGTAAACATCAAACAACTATCAAACTATGGTTTTGGAGCCTGGCGTCTTTCGAGAAATGGCTGGATGAGATCTTTGGATCAAATAGCTCTGAATTACAAAAAACTTAGGTATATGCAGAACAGTCTGAGACGGTAAGAAAGGATGGGAAGCATTTAAAAACTGGTGTAACTAGATCTGTGGGGTCAGATTAAGTAAAGAAATGGAAAGACAATTTAGGCAGCATTGAGTAATCAGACTTACTGATCATCATGAGGCAGGTCTCATCGTTAAAGGCCGACCAGTTGGAGTTAACCAGAGCCTGCTTGAGCTCCTTCAGAGTGATGGAGCCATTGTGGTCTGTGTCCACAGACTGGAACCACTGGAAAGCCTCAGGGTCCACTCCTGGAGGAATATTGCCTGAGAGACAGAAAGAGAATCTGTAAAAACAGTCCAATACATATAGACAAAAGAAGAAAAAAGTTATCTACGGCAGCACATTTTTGTGTACTGGTTAGTCTAACCCATAAGGGATTTCTAATTCTGTTTAATGACAGAAGGAAAAAGGAGGAAAGTGAAACACTCAGTTACAAACTAAAGCTGGAAGCTCAACAATGCCAGTTAACACCACTGCTGACTGCCTGCGCTGTCACTGACAGGCTGAAGGAACAGAGCAGAGAAGATTACAACTGGACCTGATCCATGTACTGAAAATCCTCAATGGTACTGACAACGTCAACCCAGCAGACTTTCATCAGAATGAGCTGTGAAACACGACCCAGAGGACCGGAGAGGAAACTATTTGGAAGGGGCATTTAAAAAGAGAAGATGAGGCACTTATGCACTTCAGTAATGAGCTCCAGTTTCCAACTGCTTGTTTTATTGAGCTTTGGGGCATAGATTGTTCACGAAACAAAAGAAAAATGTGGTGTTTGCAGAGCTGTCACTCTCTGTAAGCTGCATGCGGCCTTCCATTCCTTCCCCAAACAAGCCTCTCTCTCAATACGCTGTAAACAGTGATTCGTGAGTCCTGTAATAACACCAGCAGTTGTAAGAGCAGGCATGACTCAGAGGGCTTGCCCTGTAGAGCTGCTCTGTAATACAATCCATCTGCGAGGCACAAGCTCGTCTGATAAGGCTCCTGAGGTTTGTTCTGCATTACCGCAGTCATCAGTCCCCGAGTGTCAGCGTACTGCAGGCAGGCTCTTTGTACGAGCAGCGGCAGCCAAAATCCTGGATGTGGCTCTGTTCACTGGCAGCGGAGAGCAGCCGTTAGACGGCGCGAGTCTTAGGGGCCACTGTGTGACGGGGCTTCATGTCAGGCAAGGTGCTTGAATTCAGCCCTGTACTGACCTACAATATATTAGCCAGAGACAGTCTCACCGTCTTGCTAAGGTGAGATAAGTGAGTGAAAGTGAGAAAGTAATTAGAACAGTAAATGGTTTGTGATTTTATGAATTGGGGTTCACTGTATTTACCGTGCCTTAAAGCATGTAGGGTACACATACTGTAAGTACTGAACATGTGCACAAAGGAATCACACACTAACTGAAAAGCTCACCTGCAGGTGCCTGCTGCCCATAAGGTCCGCCATGGTGTTGCCCATATCCCCCATAAGGCGTGCCAGGGGCACCTCCAAATTGTCCCCCGCCTGCTGGTGCTCCCCCTCCGTAGGTCGCCCCAGGGGCAGCTCCCCCTCCTCCTCCATACTGTCCCCCAGGACCTGGACCATATGACCCATAGGGGGCTCTGGGTGTGGGACCCCCAGGGTAATGTCCACCAGGTGGGGGTGCAGACCCCCCATACTGGCTCCCTGGTCCAGAGGGGGGTGCTGTTCCCCCGTAGTGACCCCCAGGACCTCCGGGGGGAGCCCCTCCTCTGTATGGGTCCCCTGGGGGGGGCTGCCCTCCTGGGAAATAACCCCCTCCTGTTGGTCCCTGATAACCCTGGGCACCAAGAAAATGCAAGAAATAATTAAAATATACGGCGGGTGAGCGGCTGGATTAGTGAGAGCGGTTGTAACAGTGAATGAGCAGCTCCCTCAAGACCCGGCAGGTAAAAGCCGGAGCTATGTGCGCTGATCACAGCCAGAGACGGTACGGCAGACACATACTGTACTGCTGGTTCGGGCGTCATGGCCATCCACGTCTGTTCGCATCAAACGCTGACTTTAGACCATGCGCACCTAACAACTGAGTGGACCTGACTTCAAAAATAAAATCTCCTACTGGTACCAGCACATTCCGGGAAGGGACAGGCGACGCACTGCCACCCAAACGCAGCAAAATAATGTATATCAGAAGCAGCAGCTCGGGTTGGGGAGATTGTTGCTCCACCCAAAACGTAAAGCGGGATTCAGGAAGCAACGTGGAGTTACTACAGTGAACTACAGTAACAGCGAGGGCAGACAGCAACACAGTACCCCAGTAACGTAGTTACTGTGCTGAAAAGGACGAGCTGATGTTCAGGACTGCCTAGAAGTCACGTATTTGCGGTGACGGAGGATATCCTATAAAGACCAGAGTAAAAACAAAAGCCTAACATAATATTATTCACAGAGACCAAGGAAGTACTTCAAAGAACAGCAAATGCAAGGAAATCTGTTATTTGTGCTTTGTACGAGTTTTTTTACTTATATTTACTGTCTAAAGTAACGACTTTGATGCTGAAAACGCCAGGAGAAAGAATGCATCAGTCCCCAACCTGACATTACTTATATCACCCTGAAGGCTACAATCCATACTCCTTTGGTGACAATATTACATAACTATACAGTATAAACACAAAAATAGTGTTACGACTCCAAAAATAAATCAAAATCTCTCTCAACCCGGAAGCTCAGACCTTACCTGCCCGTAACGAAAACTCATTTCAGGAAAACTGTCACCATGACGCAGTCACACTATTTATAAAGACCCGCCTCCCAAATGCCAAATGGCCAAACGAGATGTCAGTCAATTCAACCAAGCCCTATATCCTTCTGTGATTGGAAGAAAAGAAGGAGCACTTTGCAATTGGCTGTAAGGTTTAGTAAGGGGCGGGCATACAGTTAGTAATTCGGCTGTGATTCGTACTGTCTGATCATCAGAGATGCTAATTGTGTGCTTTTGGAAATTTGGAGAGTGAGTCATTCGCTGTGATGTTTTTTTATGTTGGTTGCTGGTTTAAGTTTTTGTTCTTGCACGTACTGCTGCCCTCTGTGCAACGAGAAATGTTTGAAGCTTTTTGAAAACTTGTTTTTTAACGTGCTGTTGTAAAAAGACAACAAGGAACACATTGGCATTAATGGAATTGATATGAAAACCCCACTTATATTTTATGTCACTCAACTAATGATTGAATAAAAACAAGAGATTCAGATCATTCATGGAGCCAGACCATGATCTTAAGAAAGTGACACAGAAAAGTGAAAAGCTTCCGACTCACGTGTCATCATTTGTTTTGGATCATGGAAAGTGCACTCAGGAATAACGTCATAATTTGCCTTCCTTGTGATGTGTTATAAATGATACATGTTGTTATGTGTTATACATGTGCAATTTAGTGATGTGCAATGTTTTTCTTTTTTGTAATAGAATAATGTGCAATGTTTTTCTTTTCTTCTTCTTTTTTTGGGTTTGAATTATATTTAAATGTACAGGAGTGCTGAGTGTCCATAAACAAATTCCCTCAGGGGACAATACAAATCTTATCTTCTTCCACCCAAACTCACACCTCCCTCCTCTCCATCACCTACATACTGTACAGATAGACTCTCAACCTCTGCCGCCCCCTTCCCACGGGCAGAAGCAGCAGAGAAGTTTCTCCACCAGCTGAGACACCCCAGCTGCTATCTGGCGCCCCTCACTGGCAGGAGCAGGAGTAGGGCTGGTTCGGATGTTGGGAAGCCCTAGCAAGATTGTTCCAAACGCAAACGCATATTGTTAGCGGGACAGTGAGCCGGGAGCAAACAGGTCTTACCTACTGTACCAACGTTTTAGCAGCACAAAAGTTACCTGCGTTAGCTGCCCCTTTACCGTAGTGTGCGTCACCGGTTTATCACAGGATCTGGAAACTACATCACGCAGTTTCAACAGCATTCCTCCATGTGTTTGTGCCAGCGCAGTATCCATTGTTCATTATCGAAGTACAATATACTGTAGCTGTACACTGCATCAAACCGACTTACCGACTCACAGGATGTCGTCACGTAACTAGTCCGTCTTTGTTTTGTTTTTGAGTAAAAAATTAAAAATAGCACTTTAAAAAAAATGTCGTAATAGCTTATAAAGCAAATGGGAGATGTGTACCTTTAAAAGCCCTCAGCTTGTCTTTGCGTTAGCAAATAGCTTCTGCGTTGTGCAACTGAGGCATGACAGAAGCATCACGATAGTAGGAGTCTCTGCAGGTCCTGTAGTGCATGTAGAAGTGTTGGCGATGCACTGCCGCTTAAGGCTTCGTTAAGATATGAATTGACAGGACCAGTCAATATTACGGTACTCCTGTGTCTCTTTTTGCAGCCGAAGGGAGAGAAGTGTAACTTGTGGCGCTGAGCATCAGGGGGGCAATGTGTCAAGGTTCTAAGAAGTATCCACAGTTGTTTTTTTTTACATCATTCGTCAATTGCATGCGAAAGACGCGCTGGAAGGTGAATTAGAGGAGAGGAAAGAAATTCGAGCCCCACCGGTTCGGAGACACGAGATCAGACGCGTTTCCATTACACCTCCCGGAGACACAATTCTTCGAAGACGGCATGAGAAGACAACGTAGTTTCAGAATTATACATGATCAAACCCTCCCAAGTATTTAGTGCCTTTCCTGGAACCAGAGACGACCGCACCTGAGCGGACCGCAAACGTGTGGGCGGGAAGGCGTGGGATAAAAGGCATTCCTTTCACAGCAAAGCAAGCCGAGGAGACGAATGCAAATCGCATCTTCTGTCAAGAACCCAGAAATGAAAGTCAACAAATAACAAGCACTGTACCCTCCTCCCGAGATAAACTGGACACGATGTGCACAGACTCTTGCGGGCGTGTCCAGCCCTCATGCTGGAGTCCACAGTTTGTAATGGACTGGGGCACACGAGCCTTTCGATCGTTTTATTCAATTTAATCGATTGGTTAAATCAGAAATAGCCAACTCCAGTGCCTGACAGCTACAGGGAGTTGGGTTTCCAGTTTTAGAGGAGATCTAAACAGCAGAATTAAATCACTTGTGGCAGTAGTCAAACCACAATTGTGCCAGGTGCATAGAAATGGATCACTTATACATCACCTATTAAGCCTGCTGGACTGTGTCTTAACAGGACCAGGGCTGGACACCCCTCGCCTATTCCATTCCAACTGGAGGTGTCCACAGAGTGATGATGCTGTTGTCCCAGCAAACTGGAACAGCTTATACATTTAAATACTGTATGAACCCAGTAGGAAATATATCAAGTGTATTTAACATTTAATCACATATAAATATAAAAATATAATGAATACAAAAATTATCATTCTCAAAGATTATCTGGATGTTCTTCTAAGTATTTTGTTCTAGTGCAAAATGTGTTCCTGAGTTTAAGCTGAAAGTAGCAAATCTAGGAGAGACAATTCAGGTCAGGCAAAAGAAAAATAAAATAAGCGGTGTCTGATCACTTAAGCCTACGTTTGGAATTATAACCAAATTATTCACACCCCATACATTCAGATGAGGTTTTTCAGCTCCCAGTAGCAAATAACGTTTTTGCACACTTATTGCTTCATTGTAGCAGAACAGCTAGCATATTACATATAAAAAAACAGGTACAGATAACAGTTTTTACATGGGAATAACTTAACTGCCCATTCCAAAGTTCTGTACACATAAGTTACTGCTTTTGTCATGTTATAGAGTCAATGATTTTCTGGCTTCATCACAGTAGCTGAAGTCCCCCAAAACATAAAACTTCAGTTTCAAGAAGAGTTTTCTGGCAGTTTCTCAATCTTTAAAAGTGCTGAATGTCTTTGTATTCTCTGACTGAACACAGTGATGCTGGGGGGGCAGAGGGTCTCCCTGCTTGTGTTGACATTTTCATCACACTGTTCCTAAATTCAACAAAATAAGAAAGTGTCTACAACTTTGAAAAAGTACAGTATATGAAAAGATAGAGATAGAAAGAGTCTACATGTATGTATTCATTGCCCGATGAGGGGTATCAAGTCTTGAACTTGTGCCATATTAAAAATTCCTGTGGCACAGTTTATGGGCACTGATTTCATATATGCCTTTTGTCTGTGCTGGGAAACTGGACTTTCATTCCCTTAACTCTATACATTTGTTCACTGAAGAATTATATGACTATTAGATCTATCTGTATAGATCAGGAATTGAAAACAAAAACAAAAGAAAGAAAGATAGACTGCAGCAGTTTACATGAAGTTTGTTTGTCTAGAATAAGTGGCCTTTTTAATTTGCTAGGTCCTGTTGAAGGCTCCATATTTCATGGTTATAAAAACAAGAAGGGCCTTGGTGTGTGTTTGATTTATTGCAGTATACGGCAGGTCTTTGTGTATCACTTCCCTTTTCTGTCCAGGGAAGTTCCACCCTGAAATGGGGTTTCTGTTTTAGCAGTCACGGATGCTGTTGGAATGTGAGTGCAGTGGCCGATCTCTGTCAGCCTCGCAGGTGTGCTGGTTTTGGTTTATGTTATTTTAGCTTGTGGCAGCCTCCTCCTCTGCTTTTCTGTTGCTTGTGTTCTGTGTGCCAGGTTTTTCCACTGGGCCCAGCAGGAGGCACTGGCTGCTTGGGTGGGTGATGGCAGTTTGGCCCCCTGTGGACCGTTGCCTATCCTTCATGTAGGACTTGATCAGGAACTTCTGCCAGCGCTTGCCGAGTAGGTAGACAATCTCGCAGATGCACATGAAGACGCAGATGGCAGAGGTGACCACCATGAAGATGGTGAAGATCTTCTTCTCGGTGGGGCGGGAGATGAAGCAGTCCACGGTGTTGGGGCAGGGATTGAGGCTGCACTTGGACAGGCGGGGCATGTCGTAGCCATCGTAGATGTAGTAGAGGATGTAGAGGAAAGCAGAGTCGATTCCAGCCTTGAAGATCAGGCTGATGAGGTAGGTCCACCACAGCCCGCCCTGCTTCTTCCCCGGGTTGGAGTAGGGGTTTGGACCTGTCTGCCTGGCGGCGTACTTCTTGTTTTTCTCCTCGCGGTACGCCACGTGCATCACCACCATCAGCGAGGGGCAGGTGACGAAGATGAGCTGCAGGGCCCACAGGCGGATGTGGGAGATGGGGAAGATGCTGTCGTAGCAGACGTTGGCGCAGCCGGGCTGGCGCGTGTTGCAGTCGAAGTCCTTGCTGTCGTCGCCCCACACGCGCTGCGCTGCCACCACAAACACCAGCACCCGGAACACGAAGACCATGGACAGCCAGACGCGCCCGAATGCCGTGGAGTACTGGTTGACCCCGCTCAGCAGTCCCTCCAGCGACGACCAGTTCATGGTTGCATCTGCTGGTTCAGGCTTTGTCCACCTCCTGTCCAAATCAAAACTAGCATTAGTGCTCTTGCTATAGCAATGGGAGCCGTCCATCTGCCCAGCTCTGTCTTTTCTTGATAAAAGAGAGGTGGGCGGACATTGTTCCAGGCCTCTATAAAATTTTAGGAAACAGATTCATTAGGTTTAAACAGTAACTACTATCAGATGGCACCAACAAAGTTTTCCGATTTAGAAGAAAGCTTCAAGAAATTAATAACAATACAGTACTAAATATGGTGTGAGTGCACACTGTAGTATTTACATGAGCAATGATTTTGCATAGTTATATTATTTTGAAGATTAATCAGTTTTGAATAAAGTGCTTAAATATCTCATCAATGGACCTGGTGAAAGTCCTAGGGTCTGAACTCTGACCTGCAGTGGGGGGCATCTGCAATAATTATTGCTTTAAAAGACATATCCCAGGATCAAGAGAATAAATTATGATGTCATAAAGGATTATGAGTGTGAAAGTGAAAACATACACACATATATATCCATATACTGTATCTTGCAGTCACCTCTGCGAAGCATAAACCTGTAACCAATCTCTGTGTTACTGTAAGTGGTGCTATTTAATCCTCTCAGTGCAGACCATGGTGTCCATGATCACATCCGAGTTTCAGATTAACTAGATGAACACTTGCAGATGTATTTTTCATTAGACTTTCTTAACGTCATATATTTTTATAGTGATATAATAAAAATCTATATATACACATATAGTTCAGAGTAAGAAAACAACGCTGAATTCCATCCATTGTGTTTAAGCTATGACAAACTACAATAATATGTGCCTTTTAAAAAAAGCATTTCAGGAATGCAGAAATTCTACCAACAGCTGCACTGTGTGATGAATATACAGTGCTTACTGTGCAAACGAATGAGCAGATTTTCTAGTATACAGTACATAAATAAATGTATTTAAAGGAACAACAGTTTTACAAAGCAATTGACCTAGACTGGAGGAGGAAGAGTGCCGAGTGCGCATCCAGGTACAGGGGCCGTGTGAAAGTTGCCCAGCAGAGGGGGCATAGTGGGATTTAAAGAGACTTAGGGAGGTGAGTCCAGCTATGAGGAAGTATTGTGCAGCCCTGACAGAACATGACTGAGAGGAAGCTGCTAGATGACTGAGGATCACACAGCTCTTTGGCTTATTTCAGTCCATGACATAGGAATTTGCCTGCAGTCCTTATGTAAAGCACCACCATGTTGAACTTTCTAAGGTAATTTTAGTCCCTATTTTATACTTTGTTGCTATCAGCAGAATGAGTCATAATTCCAGTCGCCTTTAAATATGAAAAAAAAAACATGATGGGAGAAACTATCGACTTTACCCCCCACAGTTCTCCTCCTCTCTCGAACCCGGGCAAGCTGTCAACATGTGGCCCTGGTGTCAGGGGAGAGCTCCTTGCAGCAGTGGGTTCCAATGAAGACAATGTGAAACGGACAGGCACAGAGTGACGGTGAGGTTGCAAAAGCAAGCTTTGAAAACGATGTTGTTTTTCTTAAAGTAAAGTGAACAATATTTATTCTTTCAGAATCAGCTCAGGTAAAACAAGCACAGCACAATGAAAAGCACAGCTGCTTTGCAGGAACTCTAATATAAAAACAAGTTAATAATAATCCTAATAATAATAAATATATATGTACATGCCCAGGCACAAATCTTAGCATTTTTCTTTCTTTATCTAGAAAAACAGAATTCATTTCTACCTTTCTAGCAACAGTTAATCTTGTATTGAAATGTTATTTGGAGCTTAATCAATCCAGCCTTTTAGCTTTCTGGATGTATAGATAGGAACAGATGATGAGGAACACCTGACCCAACTACATTTGCCTGGTAAATGTGGTGGGGGAGCTGCTACACCCAGCACAGTGGCTGCTCAGGCTTAGTTTGCCCTAATCACTGTGATCATACTTTTGAAGTTCCTGATCATTGTGAGTTAAAGATGGCTAAACAACAGACTGAGCTTCTTCTCACCCACATTGGGCAGAAATCAATTGAGTCAGAGTTATTATAAGAATAGAAAACACTAGAAGAGGCTCTGTGTAAAGTGTTGATGATTGACATATACCTATAATTTGACTCCTGATTGTGTCTACGATGTCAGTGTACAGGTCATGCAGTGACTCCGGCCCTTCTTGGTTTTGTCCTGGATGAGCTCTCAGTGACTTGATTTAGCTGCTAATTCACTTATTGATGTGCTAGCTAGTCAGTTTTAAATTGTCTTCTGCTCTGAAATTATTGAATTTTACATGTTATCTGCATAACATAAAATAAATAATAAAAGAGTAGCTAAACATTTGTTGTATGCAGCATCCCCTTCGTCCTTCCTTACTTAATTACTGTACTCAAGTGAAAATGAGCCCCTCATGTCCCTCAGTCTCACACATCGTGTGACCACCAAAATTGATCACTACAAGCAATCCCAGCCTTGAGCAAACTTAGGTAAGGCACGCTTCTCGGGGACTTTCCTGAGTGAATTTCAAACTGAAACAATGTCTCAGCATTGTCAGTTTGTGTTTTATTTGTATACTTACTTCTAAGATAATATTGCCTTGAATTTCTTATTAAAAATATCCCTTACCGTGTTTCGTGTGAGGAACATCTGAGAAGGATCCAGGAGATAAACGCAGCAGCTGAAAGTGCTCACAGCTCACCCAGAAAGCTGACAAACCAGAGTGGAAGTCTGCTCATGGGGGCGGGATTTGGGAAAACCACCAGGTGACTAGTAGCTCAGGTGTGAGCTGCTGCGTTTTGTTCTCAAAGGACTAGCAGACAAGCTTTCGATAGCTTGAGGTGCATGGCGCTCTCATGAGTGAGGCTGACGTGCAGAGGTAAGTTCCCTTAGTTACAGGGCTCATGAGGAAAGTGCCAACAAGCCCTTAAAAACTCTGACAGAATGTTTTCAAACACGGTATCTCAGTTTCGTCATCTTTCTTACTGTTTATTTCAATTTTGCATTGACTTAATTCACTCAACAGCTAAATAAAGCCCCCTTATATTTGTTTACAGATTAGAACTACATTACTTGAAATTATAAAACATAACAGGTTGTAAATCAGTGTGTCATGTTTGGTTCAAATTGGTGTGACGGGAAAAATTGATATATATATATACTGTATATCATTTCATGTCTTCTTCATTTCATTAGGCTGGTTAGGCCGTAATGAATCTGATACAGGGATGAATTTGTGTATAGTATTTGGTGTGACTTGCTTGCCTGAGGGAGAGGCAGCCCAGCTTTGAGGATAAGATCCCAAACCCCCAGTGCTGTAAGGATTGAGCCAGGGTGCAGATAGATTGGGGGTGGGGGTGGGAGAGAGAAATGCGAAGGGACGTCCTGGGTGTGAGATTAATTAATGTAGGTGAGAGGAAATGTGCAAGATTAGGATCTAACCTTTCTCTCAGATTTCTGTTATAAACTCCATTGGATGTAAACTAGAGAACATATTTTCATGACAATGACAATTGGACGAAAAAAGAACACAATGCCCACTAACTTCCTCCCATTGTCTGTCATTACAAGGGACACAAAATGTCCAACCAAAAAAGTGAAAGCCATGTGCATTTCTGAATGTTTGGCCATTTTGCCTGCTTCGCTGTGTTTGTAGTTGTGTACCTGTGGCCTCCTGTGGATTCTATTGTACCATTGTTTCTGGATTTGTTGTCAGATGCTGAGAGAAGACAGTTTTTAAATGAAAGGGGAAATGAAAACAGAAAGAATGCTGGAGGCAATCATACAGAAACTGGCTCTCCATCAACATGCCATGCAGTTCTGCTGAATTTGAAGCGAAAAAGGGAGCTTCTTCAACAAAGTGTTTCCCGTTTTAAGCTATAAATATGAAATGAGAAACACCAAGGCTGTAAAAGCTACCTATGAGAAAACGTACGTGTTTATGCTGACACATCATTTTCACGTACTGTAGGAGAATTGAAAAACAAACACAATGATAGGATGTATAAAAGTGTAGAATTTCAATCAAGGGATTTTATGTTGGGCAATGTCAAACAGATATGCACTGTTGTCAGTGACATAGCCAAAAATACATGCCAAGTAAGTGTGATGTGTGAGCAGAGCTTTCTGTGTTTTAAAAGTGCTTCTCAGTCTATAGTTTGCTTCAGGATATCTGTGAGGAAGTGAATGTGCAATCCCTGTGCTATTTATGAACCCCTCACACCTCTGGATTAGCAGATGGAGGGAAGCAAAAAATCTGACAGCGCTGTGCGCTTAGTACAGAGCACAGCGCTGAGATAAGCCGTCGCACACAAGCAATGAACTTTGCACAATAAAAGCCACGCCCTTGTGTTCTCGTTGCAACCAGCCTTCGGCTTTTGTTTCCTCAGATGTGGATTGAATTGCTTCCACTCCTAGTTTTTGTAACACAAGACCTTCTGTGAAACGCAAGGCACCTATAGGTCAGATTTCAAGGCAGAGGGAGCTGTTTCACTTAGGTGACGCGGAGCACCAGCCCACAGTGGCACCAGGAATGTAAGGGTTAATTAAACTGTACAGCGATGATGTGCTCTCCGTTGACGATTTCTTCAAATGGACTTTAGAGAGGTTACACACAAGAGGAGGCCCTTTGGCCCAGCTAGCTCAATTAAATTTGCAGTAGCTAATTGATCTGAGAATCTTATCTAGGAGTTTCTCGAAAGGAGTCGGAGTATCGACTCCAATAACGTGGCCTCGCCACTTGTTCCAGACTCCTGCAACCTTTTGTTTAAAGCAGTGCCTCCTGTTCTCAGTTTTAAATGTATTTTCCAATGGCCCTTTTGATTTCAGAGCTTTATAAGGCTTACATTTTTATAAAAGCAAGGGCTCTTTTAAAGAAAATCAAAAATTGTAATTCAGTTGCATTTTTAGCACCATATGTTACAGGCAATCCAGGGAAGTCATCATTATTACTGATATGTTCATATTGCTAACTCTAAATAAAAGGCTGCAGGAACTAAGCCCTGCCTGGTGCTCTCTGTGAGAAGGATCTATCCCCTGCCAGGCATGGTGCGGTAGAGCACTGTCTCTGCCACTTCTCTGTCTGTGACAGGTATGGGCTTTCCCTTGCACTAGCAAGTCTTTCCTCTCTGGGCTGCTGACAATGTCAGAGCTGACACCTTCCTCCTCTAAAGCCACCCGGCAGCTCAAAGACCTGAGCCACAGTGCACAGACCCTTTACTCCAGACCTGGGCCACAGTGCACAGACCCTCTACTCCAGACCTGAGCCCCAGTGCACTGAGCCTCCACTCCAGACCTGGGCCAGCCCCCTGCTCTGGGAGAGAGATTCAGCAGACAGGAGATTCAACAGTGAGGTGATTGTGTGATGACTCACATAGCCAGCAGCCTCTGGAATTATTGATACGGGCTCAATTCCAGTTAAACTGCTCCTGTGAAGAGAGCCTCGGGTTGCCGTCATGTTCAGTGCTGTTTTTCAAACAAAAGAAAGTCTTAACAAGATCTATGACAAAGGTTGCTGAGTGATATAACAATCCAAGACAAAAAGCCACTCTTATCTTCAAAAGTCTGCTTCTACTAGGCTATCAGTGCCAGTTAATAGACACTTCGTAGTTTCTAATAACCAGAATGTATTCTTAATTGCAACTCATTACTCCACTGTAGTATTGAAACGTTTCCATTGCATAGTCATAGCTGTGTAGTATGTATGATTTGTCTTTTTCTTTCTTTTCCTTTCATTCCCATATTCAGAAGCTTTTTCAGGCTCCTACTGTACCTATAAGTCATCTTTTAGATACAGAAATACAAACACAGCTGTACTGTGGCTGGTTCTGCAAGATCATTTAATCTGTAAAACTTTGATGGATGTGCTTTTTTATGGAGAGGGGGATCAGTGGGAGGAAACACCAAGGTGGAGCTCTTGAATACAGTAATAACAGTATTGTATCACAAGAGGGAGCTAAAACCATAGAATAGACTCGAATCTACTGGAAATCCTCATGTTGCAGCTCTTTATTTTAGGAGGAACAATTCTAAAATTGAGCACCCTAACCCAGAAAGCCAACTCATCCATTGATCAGTCCAGCTGGGTCTGAGTTTCTTTGTAAAAGTGAGAGGACTGTCTATATTTGTGAGCAAGCTGGTTTGTTTGTTTTTCCAAAAGGTCTAGACCAGGGTATCAGACTTCTGGAGTTCCTAGAGGGCCTAGCATCTTCTGTATTATGTCAAAACTATTTTCTAAGTTACTGTACATAGTTGGTCTAATAAATTATTTAAATACTTAATTTTAATACTTCTAACAGGCTCAAAGGCCATGAACTTTTCATGAAGTAAATATTTTATATAATCTAGCATAAAAAACATAAAAGACAATATAAACCTAAGAAATATGTCCACATCTGAAGGAGGCTCTAAAGATGAAAGGTTGTGTTTCAGGTTTTAACCTTTCAGCATTGAATGAACCTTTACTTCTTCCTTTTCAGCTTACATATGCTGACACAGCTACCTACTACCTACTATTGAATGTCTTCAATCCTAAATATTTCTAATTTAGAAAGTAATTTAATTAATTACTTAATTGATCACTTGAGACCCCTGATGAAGACCTTCAGCAGTATACAGAGGTATACTCTATATACAGAGGTGGGCAGACAGCTCACTTGTTAGAGCATTACTCTACCAGAAAGAGCTTGATCCCTGCTGTCTCTCAGCCACAAACTCACCTGAGCGGTTGGTGAGCCATGGACACGAGCCTTATCCTCGAGCAGGCTTGTCTGTGGTTGGTTATATATTAAAGGCAGGTGTCTCTTTAAAGCGACAGAGCCTGATGGGCTCGGAGAAGCTGATAAACTGGTCCAGTTAAACCAGTAACCAGCTGGCTTAACTTGTTAAGAGAGTTGGAATGAAAAGCTGCTGACACACAGACCCATCAGGACCAGGATTGGACATCCCTGATCATGGAATATTAGAATATTGTATTACTGTACATAAGAAAATGAATTCTGTTGTATCGCTGCTCGATGATAATTCAGCGAAAAGCAGCTGCAGATCAGATACAGTGAATTCTTTGTTCTGCTCTAGAGGATGTAGCTGCCCTTAGCTCTTTCCTTGCTGATGAAACTGATCTTGTGAAGAACATCGTGCTGGACCAGCTCATCGGCTGCTGTCAAACAGAGCTCCTAATTAACCAGAGTACTGGCTCAGTGTGGCGATTAGAGCAATGAGTTAATTGATGCAGGGTAATTAAAATCTTGTGCCTTCCCTGTTTGCCGGCTTAGGGTGATTCTTTTTACAGCAGGATTTGTAACTGACAGGGGGTCTATTCAGATAGGTAGGACTATGAATCCAAGACGTTAGACTTGGATGCAACTCCTGTCCTCTGTGTGTGGTGCATGTATATGAGGTGAGCTAGCTTAAAGTTTCCTCTTGAGGAATGTAAAAATTATCCTCTGTAGTACTTGTGAATAACAAGTGTATGCTAGCTATATAGCCCGAAGAAAAGATATATCATCTGCTGCCTTTTAACTAACCCTGCACACACACAAATATGCTCCTTATAAATGATCTTTAATGCACTTTATACATCTTTTTTACTTCCCATTAAGGCATGAAGGGACTCAGAGGTGGGCAGGGCCCCTTACTTTCTATTGACAAACACCTACAGTCATGTTTAGGAGCCTCTGATGTCAAAACAAGAATCACCCAGCAAACCAGCCG